ATGAAATTGTTGGGTGCAAGACTCTTCGACAGTGTTTGAATAGTAATGATGTGGGAGACCATCTGTCGGCCATTATGGCTCTTCGCAAACTGTGTAACCATCCTGCACTGTTAGCACAAGATAATGAGCAACATTCACACAAAGAAATGGCTATGGAATTAGCCAGTATGCTTCCTGAACATATAAAATATAATCAGTTTGATGAAGCTGTAAGTTAGTTTTTTTTAAAAGTGCATATAAATTTGAATAAGATGAAAAAGAACATGAAAATCATATTTGAGTTATAAATGAGCAGACTTTAAACCACTAACATTTTTAGACAGTGTTGCTCACACCCTTCTTTACATTAGCAGTTGTTTGCTGCCCATCACTAATAATTTTCTTTCTTTAATGTAGGATAGTGGAAAATTGGCTGTAGTGTCATGCATGTTATGGTCACTTGCTGAAGCTGGTAATGAGAAAATTGTTCTTGTATCCAACTACACATCAACCTTAGATATGCTGGCTATTTTATGTGAGCGCTACAACTATCAATACTTGAGACTCGATGGTTCAGTCCCAACAGGGAAGAGGCAGGAACTGGTGGACAGATTCAACAATAACTATTCCAAAGACTGTAAGTAATTCTTGGCTTCTGTATAGTTATTAAAGTACTGGCAATAAAAATATACCAGGAATAAACTTATTAGAACTGTATTTATGTTGACAATTTTTTTCTTTGTAAAGTTATTAGATCAGGTTAGATATTTACTCAAAGACTTACAGACTTCATGATCAACTTGCATTTCAGTTGTCTTCCTCTTAAGTGCAAAGGCTGGAGGAGTTGGTCTAAACCTTATAGGAGCCTCAAGGATCCTTCTCTATGACATAGATTGGAATCCTGCAACAGACCTTCAAGCCATGGCACGTGTGTGGAGAGATGGCCAGCAGAAAAAAGTATATATTTATAGGTATGAATATTTATTCAGTCCTGTATGGTACATCTATAATAAGGTACATACAGAATGCAAAACAGTCAGCTTAGTAGCAACATGTTTCTTGATATTTTGCCCCTTGTCTTCCAAAGATATCACCTCTTTTTCAGGTTGTTAATGACAGGATCTCTAGATGAGAAAATGTATCAGAGACAAGTTAGAAAGCAAGGCCTGAGCGGAGCTGTAGTTGATGCTCGTGACTCTGAACGAGTTCACTTCTCCACAAAAGAACTCAAGGTTGGTAGCTTTTCTGACCTGATATGAAAGAAAATATGGTTCTCTGTGTAAGAAAAGTTTATTATGTAAATTATGTGTTCAAGCACCAGAAATATTGCAGTCTTGTATGTGATTTTGTACACTTGTACATTTAAGTGCCATACATTAAAGGGGAAAAAAAAATAAAAAAAAGGATGCTGAAATATACCAGGATAACTATAGGAAAAGAAAGGACTTTTTAACTGTGATAAACAAGTGCAATATTTTTAAGTAGTATGAATACATTTGTTAAATTTGTTGATGTATTTTTTATTGAGCTCTGTGATTAGAGAAAGACAATGTTGTATTTTTATTATTATCATCATTATTTTACAGGACTTGTTCACACTTCATTCAAACACTGCCTGCTTAACACATGATATGCTACAGTGCTCATGTGATCTTACAGGCCAGACCATTGCAATGCCAAACCCTGAAGAAAATACTGAACCAGAGAGATGTATGTATACTTCTAGCTCATATTTCCTGCAGTGAAAACATTTAGAAAGAAAAGAAGTTATTGATAAATGAAATTAAGCAGGGCAATTTCCAGACATTAAAACTTCAGCTAGTATTAATTTTTTTAATCAAGAGTAAACCTTGGTAGAGAAATTATCTTTATTTTTTGTTTTTACTTGAGATTATTTCAAATGTTCAAATTTAACATTATTCTGTGCTATAGCTTGTCAACTTGGAGACCATGGCCAGTACAGATCCAGCTCTAACACTACAATGGACCAATTACAGAAGTGGTATCATAGTGCTGCACCTTTCCTCCCAGAGATTATAAGGGTATGTACATCTTGTGGGTGAAATTATGTATCACTGATTTTCTCATAGCTTGTTATATTATCATCAAAATGTTTAACAGTTGGCAAATTCAAGTAACTACATTAACTAATTTATATATTGACATCATATTAACAATAAAAAAAAATAGAATGACAAGTTTTCAACTTAACATTAATTTATCTTTACACAGGATCCTTGCTTAGAGGCTGCCAGTGACTTTATAACTTTCCTCTTTCATAGTGTGTCTGACAGCTCAGTGAAGGGGAGATCTGCTGTTCAGACTGAAGCTTGAGAATGGACCACATTATTATTTTGTATTGGATATATTGTATGGAAAGGTAACTGATTAAGTAGATAATAATACTGTTGTGGTAAAAAACAAACCTTTATTCTTTGTACCTTATGTTATCATAATCTGTTTAAAATTTTATTGCCTTCATTAAAAGAACAGTAAATTAGCTGTTGGTTTGTATATTCTGTAATTTTGTTGCACACTGATGGCTCCATAAGTGCTCAGCCAGCAAGGAGCCAATTAGTAGGCCCAACTGATATTTGTTTTTTCTGGTCATTAACATTATTGACATTATGAATGTTATAATATTATTCAAATGCTAAAAACAAAAATTGTAAACATGGAAAAAGGCAGATAGTGACATACATTCAACTAGTAATTGATTCCTTTGCACTTGTGGAGCCATCTCTGTTTTAACACAAAATAGAATCAGTGGACATGGAATTCCATCCAGGCACAGTGATTTAATGTTACCAGTTTGAGTGGCAAACTAGGCCTAAGAAATTTTGGTTAAGTAACTAGAAAAAATAAAGCAACTTGATTCTTTTATGCATACCTATGGAATTATATTAAAAAAATAGTTAATACCACCATTTTTATGACAGAAACTGTGTAATAAAATAAGGAACGTGTAGAGTTCATTTTTTTTTTTAACTTTAACCCAATGGTGCCGGGGAAAATGAACAAAAAATGGGGAAAATATTGTGCCCCCTTTCTATGTTTTTCGTGAAATGTCTGCCGATAGATGGCTCTGCTAGCGCCTGATTTAAATGGCGGGAAAAACGTATTTTTCACTAGTGCTATGAAAATCGATGGTGTTATTTTTATCAAAAACATTATAATTTTTATAATTTTTTTTAACATTAGTAACAGCAATATAAGATTACGTAAAATATTTTGTAAATCAAAGAAACGGGTAAACGGGCGAGACGGGCGGTGCTCGTAAGTGGCTCATTGGGGAGTTAGTACAAGTGTTGCCATCTATGTGTAAAAACAATCAAACAAGTACTCACTGTGGGCATAGCACGTACGTACACGTCATACCCGGCACCAAGGGGTTAAAGATCAACTACTGCAAGGTTTCATGTACCTCTTAAGAAATATAGATTTCAGATGTAACCATCAGTTTGATCTGTAGGCTTGTAACCAAGTTTAAATCAAGAAAATGTTATAAACATTGTGACCATTTTAGTATCTATTTTATTGAAAGTTTCTACTGTTCCATGCATTTTTTCCAAGTTAGACTTTTGGTCTTCAACATATCAGAGTAATAAAAGAAAAAGAAGACATTTTCCCATATTTCTGCATACTTGGCATTTTGGTCCTGTCCACATGAATGATCTTTGCAGTGTAACATCAGAAATGGAGAAACCAAGCAAAGCTGCATAAAGGTTTTCCCTAATGTTTATTGATGTATCATAGCTTTGTCTGTTGGTCATCAAGGTTGGGTAGGGGTATAGGATGAAGGTGCAAACAAACACAAACAGACACAAACTTATATTATATGTCATTATCCACGAGTTTGCATTCTGCTATCAAGCAACAGATATGTCTGGGGAACAGTGGTCTCATGAATTCAATGTTAACTTAGTGGTATTGACAATATATTCTTCTTCTGGAATCCATGTAATAGCATATTACATGGTCTTCTCAAGGCCTGTCTACAGAAGTGACACATCAGTAGGCACCAGTAAAGGTTTTTGCTAATATATCTCTTGATGATGAAAGGATGACTGTACTAGTCCTGAACAGCCTGAAGGAGCCATGGGCACGGTATTCCCCTGCTTTAGTTGCCTTGCCCTTACCCCTCAAGGGGACCCTGAGGGGTGGACTGTTTCTCCAGGCTTACCATGGCTAACAAGGAAGATGTTATTCCATCATTAGGGGCAATGAGGCTTGCCCCTTCATTAAATAGCCCTACCAATTCAAATTCTCCTGATTCCCTGACCCCAGGCTCTACTTTGACTATGGCTCCAAATGCTACAACTACTACCCCTTCCTCAGTGCCTACTAGTACAGTATCCACCCCCAAGAGACATTTCTACTCTCCCAACATCCTCAACTTATACCCCCACAATCTTCTTCATCAACTACACCATCTTCCCTTATTACTACTTTACAGCCTTATTGTCTACCTCTCCATAATACTACCTCCCTCAACACTACTTCCTCTTTCACACACCCCTGTGATTGGTCAGATTGTGAAGAAGTCTTACTCACCTGTCTCATTCCTCCCAGAGGTCATCGTAAGAACCTCATTAACATTGCCAAAATTACTTTCCAAAGACACGAACTTCCCTTTAATGCCCCCCCCCCCCCAATCCCTTGCCAACTAATTTTGCATGGTCTTTTTTCCCTTCCTACTTTTTCGTTTCTGTCCCTTCACCAATCCCTTCTACTATCCACCTCTTTAAGGTGTGAGAGCCGTGCTGAAAGGATGAAAGGTTGACTTTGTGCCAGTCCTGAACGGCCGGAGGGAGCCATGGGCACGTTATTCCCCTGCTTAGTTGCCTAGCCCTTACCCCTCAAGGGGACCCGGAGGGGTGGACTGTTTTTCTCCCCAACATTCTCCAGGCTTACCATGGCCAATAATGAAGACATAATTCCACTATTAGGGGCAATGAGGCTTGCCCTTTCATCAAATAGCTCCAACAATTCAAACCCTCTTGATTCCCTGACCCCAGGCTCTCCTTTGACCACGGCTCCGAACACTGCAACAACTACCCCCTCCTCAATGCCTACTAGTACAGTAGTCAACACTCAATCCCTAAGAGACATTTCTACTCTCCCAACATGCTCAACTTCACCTCTACCCCCACAACCTTCTTCATCAACTACCCCATCCTCCCTTATTAATACCTTACAGCCTTATTGCCCACCACTCCATAACACTACCTCCCTCAACACTACTCCCTCTTTATCATGCCCCCGCCCTTCCACTACCCCTATCTCTACAACAATCTTAAATACTCTATTTAGCGCAGCCAAATGGAACCAATTATTCGTGATCCCTCCCACAGCTCCCTACTCTGACAACACCCTTCTCTTCCAACAATGTCTCCAAAAACAAGTAGGCAAAGTCTCTTTCCATAGCCGACCCGATCGCTCCCGTCTCATCACAGTAACATCCGAAAACCAAGCTATAGCATTAGCAAAACTAACTGATTTACATGCTAACCCCATCCTTGCAGAACCCCATCCGACCCTCAATATTTGTACCGGAGCCGTTTCTATCTCCCCAGCAAATTGCCCAATCTATGACAAAGATTGGTCAGATTGTGGAGAAGACTTACTCGCCTGTCTCACAGACTGTGATGTGACATCAGTACAATGCTACTCCATTCCCCCCAGAGGTCATCGAAAGAAACCCACTAACATTGCCAAAATTACTTTCCGTAGACATGACCTTCCCTTTAACGTTTACATAGGTGGAGAATCCCTCCCTGTCCGTCCATACCAACCTCCTCCTTGTCAGTGCCAAAATTGTTGGCGTTTAGGACACCCAGCCAAACATTGCCGTTCCACAGCCAGATGCCCACTATGTGCCCAACCTTACCATACTCGATCAAACTGCTCTGCACAATCATGCACATGTGCCAACTGTGGTGGCCCCCATAATGTATTTTATAAGGGCTGTCCCACCTACAAATTTGAGTCTGAGGTAGCAACTCTCAGATTCAGACTTGGACTTACACTACATGAAGCCAGACAAGAAGCACGACCAGGAGGTTTTTCTCTTAATACCTACTCCAGTAATATTGCTCATTCTACCACTTCCCCTACCTCCCAAGCTCGTACATCCTCTCCTAAACCTACCGCCCCTTCATCTAACTCCCCCTCTTCTACCTCCTACCTTCCCCAGTCAAACTCTTTTGCCATCCTAAATCCAGACACTCCAATCTCCACTACAACCCTAACACCTTCCCCTCTCCCTCCCTGCACTACCCGCAACAGACAAAACAAACGTTCCACCCCCTCTTCCCCTACCACACAATCACCTCCACCTTCCTTTGCCCCTACTCTTGAGACACCAGCGTTCTCTTCCCCCACTCACAAGAAATCCTTTATCCCACAAAACTCTCCAACCAACTCCATTGAAGAAACTCTTGAAAATATCCAAGACTTCTTAATGAAAACTGACCCCCATCAACCTTCAAATCCTACAACTGCTCCCTCCACACATCAAGTGACTGCCGATATCCATCCTCCTCCTAACGATATCCCCCCTACACTCTATCCTCCTACCCCCTCCCAACACAGCCCATCCCCCCCAACTCCAACCCCACCAACATTAACCCTCCCACCATCCCCTCTATCCCTTCCACTCCCTCCTGGATGCACACGTGAATCCCTTACATCACAAGCATCCCCTTCCACACCCGTCTAACACACCCCTATCTGATGTCACAATCCGATCCACCCCTATGCTCCTTATGTAATGTTCTTCTTTCAGTCTCACACATTCTATTATCATGCACACGTTTTGAAGCAGCCTGTAGCTCTGCTTCCCCCCCACCTATCCTCCCTTCACCGACCTCCCAACCTATTCTGCTTCGACAACCTGTTTTCCTCTCAAACGCATAAATATCCCTTACTTAATCTAACCCCTTTACATTACCTCACCCGACCTTAACCCATTCACTCACCAATTCCTTTGCCCAGCTTTGACAACTAATCACTAACTTAACCACCCTTTACTAACATTTACTATAGTGCTACATGACCTTAGATGTCTAGCACATTTATTTTTGCTTTTAACCATTAACCATTAACCTTCCCCAGTCAAACTCTTTTGCCATCCTAAATCCAGACAGTCCAATCTCTACTACAGACACTCCAATCTCCACTACAACCCCAACACCTTCCCCTCTCCCTCCCCGCACTACCCGTAACAGACAGAACAAACGTTCCACCCCCTCTTCCTCTACCTTACAATCACCTCCACCTTCCTTTGCCCCTACTCTTGAGACACCAGTCATCTCTTCCCCCCCTCACAAGAAATCCTTTATCTCACAAAACTCCCCAACCAACTCCATAGAAGAAACTCTTGGAAATATTCAAGACTACTTAATGAAAACTGACACTCATCAACCTTCAAATCAAGTGACTGCCGATATCCATCCTCCTCCTAACGATATCCCCCCTACACCCTATCCTCCTACCCTCTCCCAACACAAGCCCATCCCCCCTGACTCCAACCCCACCCACATTAACCCTCCCACCATCCCCTCTATCCCTTCCACTCCCTCCTGGATACGCACGTGAATCCCTTATGTCACAAATATCCCCTTCCTCAGACCCTCCACCTCCTAATACCCATCCTGATACAACACCAACTCCCACACCTCCCCCCTCTCAGACCTCTCAGTCCTTATCCCACCCTTTAGCTGCTTCCCTTCAAATTCTCCAACACGTACTACAGTCTATATCACTAAATGAAGTATAACTATCCTTTATTGGAATATTCGTGGTTTCCGTTTTCACAGACCCAATCTTCGTCATATCCTTTCCTCTTATAACCCATTCATTGTTTGCCTTCAAGAGACCTTTCTTACACATCCTCCAATACCAGTCCCCAATTATCATTTTGTCTCTTCCCCACACTCCCTTTATGTCTCGTCCATACTTATCAAT